AAGATTCATCCTAGTGTATGAAACATTAGCATTTAAATTAGCATTATTTTTCATGCTAATACATATGTTTCCTGTAATTTTTTAAGGACTACTTAGAGGCAACCTTAGCAACTTTTTGAGACTACCTGGAAGTATGCTTAGTAACTTTTTAAGCGCTATCCAGAAGTACTTTTAACAATTTTTTGAGAGCTACTGAGGAGAATACTTGGTAACTTTTTAAGGCCTATCTTGAGACAATATACGTGACGTCTCTTGTACTAATTGCTGATTGCATCTGCAAGTTTTCAAGCGCTGCCTTCGGATAAAAACTGTACTTTAGGATGACTAGCTACTGGCAGTAACTGCAACTTTTCGAAGATATCTTACGAAAGTAGTCGTTACGTTGCAAAGAGTTAATTACTGTGGCACACGTAACGTTCCAAGTTCACTGGAACATCTTATCTAGGATTGTCGACAATAGCTACAGGAATGGTTTGTCGAACTTTAATATAAATACGCTGCGATGAAAATGTATTGCTAGATAGTTATGGCAAAAGGCTATGAAGCAAGTTGTTTCGCCTGAGTTGATAATTTTCCCATTAAAGCCAGTATGAAAATATTTCTCGTGCTAAAATAAATCCTTGAGAAGCAATGAAAACCTCTACAGTCGAAAGAACTCAACCTAAAATCCACTGCGTTTATCGCTTTGGATAGTAAACAGTTTCGAACATGTAACGTAAAACTTAAAAACACTTATACGGTTGCATAACCTGCCAGTTCATACTGTTTTAATTAGGGATACAACGGTGACGGTGCATCGTCCATTGGTCCGCGATACCTACGGTAGCACTGGTCACCTATGCTACAATGCTAACGTAAGTAGAGTGGATCAGTGGACCAGGAATATGGCGCACAGGTCCAATACTAGAAAAATCAGTTCTTCCTTTAGTTTTCGGACTATCTAGAAGTGGTTTCTATAACTTTTTGGGCACTATTTAGGAGTACTCTTTTGAATTTTTCGGATTCTACTGGAGGGTAATCCCTACAATTTTTTGGTCTCAATCTGCGAATGTTCTTATAGTTTTGGGGGCTCTCAGGCAGTAGGGGTAGACCACTTTTTTATTTTGACTTAATTAAGTTACTTTACTAAGTGGTTTTGCTTAATACTTAATATAAAAAACAAGTTTTTTTAATTTAACATTTAATTCACTTGAAATTAAATATTAACTGATCATTTTGACTCAAACACCATTTAATTCCGATTTTATTTCCATACAGGATGTAACGCTGTATTTACTTTTCCTTAAAACTATAAATAAAATCTTGATATTCACAAAACAAAGATAAAATAAAGAATAAATGACGACTTTTGTCTATTACAAAAAAAGTAAATGAATGAATAATATAATAAAACCAATATCGCAACTATCTTTTCCAGTTCTACTGCGTAAGTCGTCCCTATAATTTTAAAGGGCCAATCAGATAGTAATTCCTTCAACTATTCAGGTTCTACTAGAGGGTTATCCGTATAACTTTTCGGAACCTACTAGGTAGTGGTTTCTATAAATTTTCAGGTTTTAAAAGGGGGTAATCTGTATAAGTTTTTAGGATCTGCCAGAGAACGAGTTCTATAACTTTTCGAGATCTATTAGGCACTAGTTTCCATAAACTTTCGAGGCCTACTAGCGTATAGTCTGTATAGTTTTTTAGAGCCTGGTAGAGTGTAAGTCGCATAAATTTTCCGTATCTATCATAGGATAATTCGAATAGCGATTTGGGGCTTACAAGAGGATAATCTGTGTATCATTTTATGGACTATTAGAGGTTTGTCCCTGTCAATAATAAAGGACTACTGAGATGTAAACTCTACAAGTTTTTAGGGCCCTCCAGCGGATGCTCAACATAACTTGTCTGCATTATTTTGGGCCTTGTCCCTATACTTTTTTGGGGGTATTAATAGGTGACTCCTGAGCTTTTTTACCTCTACTAGTGGATGTTCTCTGTGTCCTGATTGAATAATATCAAGTGTGTTCTCAATAAGTTTTTCTCGCCTGTCATGTGTTGATCCTGATAAATTTTTGGAAATTACTTAGGGATGATGCAAATAACTTCTTCCGACACTCGTAGTGCCGAACTTTAACATATCGGAAGTCTACGTGTAAATGGTCTTTTTAGCCTTTTGAAGTTCATCCGCTAATGATCTATCAGAAGCTGCATACATTATCTCTAGATACTGATCAAAGCATATAGCCACAATTCACAGATATTTTCCTAAAAAAATTATCAGTCCTACTCTTTAACAAACCTTCAATAAAGGACAAGAGCTAGATTTCGACAGGCCTCGAAGAGTTATGGACAGTACACTCTCCAAGGTATGTTACAAAAGTTATACGAAGGGTCTTCAGATAGACTCAAGAGAAACATGATGATTATTCCCCGAGAAGCTGTAAAAAATTATATAGAGTATGCGGAAATAGAACCCGAATAGTAGTAGAAGGTTACCCGAGTACATTCTGACATTTATAGAGCCTACTGCTCGATAGACTGCAAACGGCTATTGGAAGCAATTACTTGTATGTCGCTGAAAGTCATATAGGCTATACTCGAAAAGATTCTAGCAAATGATAGAGACTACTCCAAGAGCAGCGCTAAAAAGTTATAACGATCATAGGCGACGAAGCAACGTCAATTTAGAGGAATCTCAAAAAAATGTTCAGATGATAACGAACGAACGAAAAAGAGACGGTGATTAAGTTTTAGAATTCTTTAGTTTTTCCTGGAGAATAATATTGTAAAATAGATGTCTGCGTGAAATGAGATGAGCTGTCGCGGCTTGTCTCATTGGATGAGACAAGTTTCAAAAATTTGTCCTCTCATTTGGAATGGAACACGTCTAAAAAATGTTGCGTTTCGTCCAGTAGGACCATACATACGCAAAACTGCTTATAAACAAAGTACATTTTATTAATACACGTATCTATCAGCTCAATTCTATAAAATATTATATCGTTTCGTCTTGCATTTCATAATTTTCCACATTTATAAATGACAAACATGCTATTCTGTATATTTTTTCTGATAGAAAAGTTTTATGTATAAGTAGTTGTCCGTCCTTATACGATATGCTATTATTCCAGTTTTTTTTGTCCCATAGGACGCGACAGTTTCAAAAAACTTTTCGTCCCACCGCATCCCTCGCCAAACCCTGTTTTAAACACTATTTTTCTAAATTAGACGATATAAAGACGTATTACAGTGAAGTGGTGAACAGAATAGTTGGAATTACTATCATTTTTTGATGAGCAATACGACTGTCACAGTCATGAGAGAGAGCTAAGAGTCTCTCAGAGAAAACTTCTTTCTAATCTATAACAAACTAGTAAGATGCGGTTTAGTGACAAGTTATGTACCAAAACATTTTAAAGCAAGGTTTCTTAACCTACCTGACGTTGCAATACAATCAAACTTTCTAATATTTTGTAAGAAACTACCCAATCAGACTAATATTAGTTAATGAAACCACTTTATTGACAGAGAAAAAAACGATTGCTATGATTCTGAATTTTCAGTTTAATTTGTGTGCTTTTGTTAATAAGAGCGTAGAGTAACAGAAAATGGCAGAAACTAACACTATTAAAGAAAAAGTCGATATTTTGAAACGTAAAAAGCGCACATGTTAACGTAAATAGATGTCCTTTCGCGAGAAAAAAGTGAGTTGATGAGAGTTAATGCTTTCAAACTTGTTTGTCTCTCAAAAAGAAATATTATTTTAATGCATTAGAATATACGTTTTGTACGCGTAGAAGCATCGTCTTTTTCGTCTCTGGCTGCCTGAGCGGTCGAAGAATGAAAAATCACTGTGTTTTATTTGTACAAGCATTGTTTGTGCTGCTATCCAACATCAACGTAGGCGCGACTTAGAATTTGAGTTAGAGGCTGCCATTGAAGATAGCTAAATTTTCAGTTGCTTTCTGGCGAGAAAAATATATTCAGTTCTGCATCACGCTGTTGCAAATTGTCGTACAAAACCATAGACTAACGAGAGAAGACCACCAACTACTCCGTCGATTTTGGGTGGGAACTACTTACATCATGTAGATCCTAGTGAAATATGAGTATTCTAGAAAAAGTTCAGGTCTATAGATTATTGCTGTACAAGTACTGCATTTTTACGATATCTTTAGTCCGATTGTCATGATCCTCCTCAGACATACTAGAGGAAACCTAGTTGCGAATTTTGGGTGCGGGTGTGGGTGGAAAGACAGTCTACACCCACACTCCACACCCATTCCTAGTTATTTCTGACGATCGAAAAATATCATGCCAATTGGCACAGTGCAACGATTCTAACTCATGGAAGCATTTCAAAGCCCACGTATTTTGGATCTGAGATATTACCATCGGCACCTACAATTTAGTAAACGGGCAACGAACGAGTTGGCACGACATTTAATATGCGGCTGCCGAATACTAAAACTTTGTATGCTGAAGTTAGACGCCATCGATCGAACTTATAGATTAAATCCTGGTTTTTTCCTAAATTTTTCCGTGCATGGGAGCAAATTGAATGTTATATGTAATTTGTCAGCGGCATTCACTCTCATGAAACGAGCATCATTTTCGACGCAATAGTGTCAGAGTTCGTTTTCTTTACGAAACATCGACCCTACTAGCACTTATCAAATGCTGCATGCATAGTTAATACAGCTGCAGTATATTCCCAACGAACGACATATAGTATTGATAGTCATCGAACACATAGTGATGCCATTTTAATCGTTAATAAGAACAACATGATACTCATTTTGATTGTCGTCGCTATTTTCAAGCTCTCTTCGGGTTCTTCCTCCAGTTATAGGATCATTTCAGCCACCGCTTGGATCACTGAACCTCTTTCGCTCTACCCTGATTTTTCGGCGAGTTTGACACCCATCAGTTTCCTTCCATCTGTCTTTCAATATTCTTTCAATGGTGCATCAACAGTATTTACATGTACGACGCGTAATTGCAGTCGAATATCAATGGTACCCATGCCCGGTTTGCGAGCAGCAGAGTTAGCTTACGGTGGTATCTCACCACGTCGCATTCAACAACGATCACCAATAGTTGCCGATGCTCAGTTCTTCTTATCAACTGGCTATGCCACACCTAACCGCGATACCGAACTCATCGTTTGTCAAACTGATGACCCGACTTGTTCGAAACCTCAGATCATGAATACGGTTAATAGTCCCGGATTCGGACAAGCTGGCCTACGATTGACATTTACTCATCCGCTCGGATTGCCAATCATGCTCATTCCCGAAGCTCGATATGCCTCGCGTGACAACCGCGTGACAGGCTACATGATTGAAGCTTGTCAAGATCCTCTATGTCAATTACCACGTTCACGTGCATCACTTCCATTCAATCTCACGGGCAAGGCCTATTGCGAGGGTACAAGTGTAGATGTAGCTCTTAATCGCTTTGGACTACCATCGTGGCTCACTTTGTGCGGATCAGAACTCAATCTGATTCATTGTCTGACCGCAACGTGTAATCAAACATCGGTGACTCAGTTCAATATTAACCGCGACTGGGTCTACTTCGTTTATCTAGCCGTGGATTCACAGTTTCGCTTTACAATCACGACTACTGGACAAACGCCACAATCCGGTAAGAAAATTTTTGTTTTGCTTTCGTTTTTGTATTTTTGTTCAAGCGTTTCTCTAGATATTACCTATATTCGCTGTCTTGATCCTGATTGTACTGAATCGATTCAATCTCAACTCACTGTTGCCAATCGATCATCATCAACACGATCTCCCATTATACGTGTCCAAGTTGTCATCGATCCACTTACCGATTTACCAGTATTCCATCTAACGGGTTCTATATATCCATCGAATGTTCCTGTATACATGTTTGTGTCATGTCAAGATGTTGAATGCGATATGTCTCGAGCTATCTACATTAACTATGGAGGAGCTCGTTTTGGATTGAGCAGAGTACAAGTGAGTGATGTGTTCGTGAATGATCAAGGAACAGTGATTGCAAGTATCAGAACAATACATACACCAACAAACAAAACCATCAATGCCGTAGTACAAATAGCGAAGACGAGTCAAGCGGAAGTCGACACACTCACATTCGTCGAGCCTAGCATTACTGAATGAATTTACGATTTTAGCCATCCTTATTTTTCGTCTTTTGCATCTGCAGACTGAATGATAGACTGAATGATTTTCTTAATGATCGAACTTTCACTTTTTCTATCGATTCTTTCCGGATGGCATACTGCTTTAGATTCTACAAGGTTTTTTGATTAGTCACGATGCCCTGTTTTTTTCTAGACAAAAATACTTTGACGGAGCATCGTGAGCTATTTCGCTGATTCGTTCATAATACGCATATCGATATCTAGTTGGAAAAACGCAAATATGAGATTTATTTCGCAATCAACATCTACATTTTCTCAGTGTGAAAGCTAGAGATTGACACTTGTCTTTGTTTTATCTTCAGTGTTAACAGCTGTTTCGACCGATGAATACAGAATTGACACAAGTTGCCACAATGACGTGGTGGACAAAGACAAATGGAATCATGTGTTCTCGATCGATCTTCTCTCAAACATTGGGTGTCAGCAAACGAATAACAGCATTGATCAAGAGAATGATCATAACCGAAACATTCGACATGTGAGAATGATTGTGATTGCAGATGCACAAATAGTCATTGTCGAAAAAAGCAGTAATAAACGATGATGCTTGATGCAAAGATGATGGTATTTGAATGGAAAAATGTCTAACCGAAATAAATAACAATCACAACACATACACATCATCAGCTGAACGGGCAAATACCTACGTTCAGTGCCAATAATGTGTGAACATGTACGCGACAACTTTTCTCGCTCGATTCCGTGGATTCATTGATTGACGTTACATTGATCAGCAATGAAATCTTAGTCGAGCAAAGACTGACATAAATCAAATATTGATTGAGAATTTGATGACATTCTTGATGATGGCTACAAGGATTGCTCGAACATGGGTTTTCATCATTCTCTCACTTGATTAGTCGAAGTACTTTGGCAAGACGAAAACATGGCAGAAAGTCGAAATAACAAATATATCGCCAGACGGCGACAAGTCAAACTTTCTCGTCTATACCAGTCGATTCAGAAAAAAAAATTTCATCAAAACTGTATTTTCAACTTCTCTCTCCGAGGTATTTGACCTTATCTGACAAGGTACTTTCCACTGGAAAGGGAGTGACTGTGGATGTGGGCGGGTGTGGGTGTGGATGTGGGTGTGTGGGTGTGAGTGTGTGGGGTGTGGGTGTGGATGTGGGTGCAGATGTGAGTGAGGGTGTGGGTGTGGGTGTTGATTTTCTTATACCCACACCCACTCCAACCAACAGCGGCACCCTCACTCCCACCCCCACCCCCACCCGCACCCACCCACACCGATACACCCACCCACCCACACCCAGTCACACACACACCCACACCCCACCCACACCCACACCCCATACGCACACCCACCCACGCCCACACC